TCTTATACGCCGGCAAATACGGGTAAACCTGGTGACATGGATACCTAACTTCATTGTCTTGTGTTTCCTGCAGTTTTGCATACTTTGGGCCATGTTGTGAATGTCTACGTCTTTTCGGTGACCCCACTCAGCGTTTTGTCGTGTCTTTTCTCACACGTATTTATGAATGATGGGTGAGTAGAGAGTGCCCCTTTATGAACGTAAGAATGCAAATAACTACCTCTTAACCTCCAGGTGGCTGGAGAAAGAATGGAAACTAGAGAAAGAACTCTTAATTTAGAGGGAACTCCATGTAGTTTGAAAGTAGTGTAGCAATTGTACAGGCAGTGGTGGATTGAGAAAATTGAGCCACTTTATATTACTCAGAAACCCAGCATCCAACCAACTATGGCTTAACACAGGAGTCTCCAAACTCAGCAACTTTAAACCTTGTGGACTTCAACTCCCAGAATTCCCCAGCTAGCAGAAATCCACAAGTTTTAAAGTTGCCATGTTTGGAGATGCCCTGGCTTACCACAATGTATGAACCAGGTTACACTGTGGGTTGTTTTACTGAGAATTGTTTTTTCTTTACAGATCACAATTTCCTCCCAAATACTACTGGTGGTTTTTTGAGACAGTACCAGGTAAAATTCAAATATGAGAGGCTTTTGGTGATCTGACTGCAGTTAACATTTGGGGGGGGGCTGAGTAGATGATGACCTGGGAAATAATGCAAGTGGCCAGATGGGAATTATTCACGTGGTCTGAACTCTGAAGGTGATGGGGGTAGAAACTGCGTGCTTGGTTTGTTGGTTTAATGCAAGGGTCTTGAAACTTGGCAAGTTTAAGACTTGTGGACTTTAACTCCCAGAATTTCTGAGCTAACATGACTGGAGGAGGAATTCTGGGAGTTGAAGTCCACAAGTCTTAAAGCTGTCAAGTTTGAAGACCCCTGGTCTAGTGTCAATCTTGGTCCTTGCTGATCTCCAAACAAGGAAGTGTTTTGGTCTTTTTGTTTCCTTTTTAGCTTTTTTGGATTGTCCTTTTTGAACCATCAATGCCTCTCTTTTGGAAGCTCTATAATATAAACAGAAAGCAAACCTAACATTGAAGATGTTACCTACTTGTGTAATAAAATGTCTGAAAGAAAACAATCATGCTCAGAGAAGACCAGGAACCAAAAAGTTCAAGTCTAAGCTACCAATATTCTCTTTTATTTGGCACTACTTGGACCAAGAGTCTTCAAGCTTGGCAAATTTTAAGGCTTGTGGATTTCAACTCCCAGAATTCCTGAGTGGAACATGACTGGAGGAGGAATTCTGGGAGTTGAAGTCCACAAGTCTTAAAGCTGTCAAGTTTAAAGACCCCTGGTTTAGTGCATTTAGAGTTTACATTAGCCTTTGAGTGCACCCTCAGCTCGGTTCTAAAGAAGTGACTTTGGGTAGAATGGAACATTGGAACTTCAAGCATTGGCATCTATTAAAAGCTGTGTTTGTGTCATAATGATGACCTCAGTATCAGGACATTGTGGCCCAAATGATGCAAATGAAGTATTTTGTGCTCTGCTGTGTCATCACTTGACCTATATAGAAAGCTTCAGGTTGTCCACCTCTGAAGTAGAAGGAAATAAGGCAAGACACCATCGTGTGTTCCTATACTTCAATTGACATTCCCTTGTTTTCTCCTGGTCTTCTGCAGGCATGACTGGAGTGCTATTACTGGTCATCCTTGCAATCATGTATGTATTTGCCACTCATTATTTCCGACGAATCAGCTTTCAAGGATTCTGGATCACCCATCATCTCTATGTGGTTCTCTACATTCTGGTAAGTGACGGTTAAAGCCTATGATAATTCAGAAATACAAATCGTCCATAGATGGAGGATGATGCATACCATTCATATATACCAGACATCTCCTAATTTGGAAACTTTAAGACTTGTGGAGTTCAAGTCCCAGAACTCCTCAGCAGGCCAGCAAAATTGAAGCAAATTTGTGGGATCCTGAGGACTTCCAAACTATCTTTAGATGCTTTCACTCTTTATGAGTCTATCAGAGAATAATTTCCTCCTTTCCGTTCATTATCATGGATTAAAATGATGCGTAATATATTTCCAGGTGATCATTCATGGCAGCTATGCTCTGGTCCAGCAGCCTCGCTTTCATATTTACTTCATTATCCCAGCGCTCATCTATGTAGCAGATAAACTTATCAGCCTTAGCAGAAAAAAGGTGGAAATCAGCGTCATTAAGGCTGAGCTGCTCCCTTCAGGTAATGTTTCTGTCCTGCATCCTCCTTCCTCCTCAACCCTACATGAAAGAGAGTATCTTCTACCCAGGAGTGGGATTCTACCAGTTTGCACCTATTCACTAGAACCGGTTGTTAACATTCTAAGCACTTCAGAGAACCGGTTGTTGGAAGAAATTTTTACTGGCCTAATCCTGTAAGGAAGGCAGGAAGGAAACATTCTGGTGTTGCTTACAGAAACTGCCTCTCCATTAACCCTTATTACATTCTTGGCAGGACTAGACTTCCTGTCTCAGGAACTTCCCCCCCCCTCTTTTCTTCTACTTTGCTTGTGTGGTGTGACCATTCAAAGTAACAATGGCACTGAAAAAAGTGACATGACCATTTTTCACGCTTACGACTGTTGCAGCATCCCCACAGTCATGAGAGGCCAGGCGTGCCGCAATGTGAGTGATGTTGAGTTGGTCATGCCCAGCCAATAACATGAGAACCAAGTCATGTCCAGCCAGTCACATGACCACCAAGCCATGCCCACCAACCAAGCCATACCCACAGAACCGATTGTTAAAAAATTTAAAAAAATTTAAAAAATTTGAATCCCACCCCTGAGCATACTCCCAACATGTGAACTCCAGAATTGTTATGAATGATCTTGCATCCTGGGAGATTATGAAACTTGAAGGCTATGTATCTAAACGATGCCCATTGAAGAAAGTTGATCCAAAGAGACTCACTAAGACCTGGAAGCCACATATGACCTGGAGAAGTATCTGGGTGGTCCAACATAGTCTTTACTGTTTGTAGCTTCTCAAAGATACCCCTCTGTCAAGGTCTTGGGATTTAAGAGCCGACCAGCAGTAAAGGTGACCAGATGTGGCTGATGTAATAAGAATGAATCAGCATAGCATGGGTATTTCCCTTTAAGACCAGGGATGGGTTCTACCCCTTTAAAAGGTGTTTATATAAAGGCAGTCATTAGAGGGTATCCTCTCTCCTTGTGTCCGGTATTTATTGCAGAGTTCTCGGCATAGAGAAGAAGCTTGATTGCTTGTAAGGTATTTTTCCTACCATGTATATGTCTGTATATAACTGTTGTATATAAACAAATGTCTAAGTCTCTGTGTGTTGTGTTTTGCTCCTGGGTTGTCTCATAACAGAAGTCACACTGCAAATGCTCTGACACTCTCTAGTTTAGGTCTGCCTTATGTGTAACTTGCTTGTACCCGGATCGTTGTAGCTAGCATTGTTGACTTGACCTTTCATAGCAAATACTTAGGAATTCTTTTTTTTTCTTGATTCAGGGGTCACCAACCTGCAATTCCAGAGACCCCAAGACTTTGACTACAGGTCTGGACAATGGGTACGGATTGCATGTTTGTCTCTGGGGACCAATGAGTACCATCCTTTCACTCTGACATCTGCTCCCCATGAAGACCTGCTAAGCCTGCACATCCGAGCAGCTGGACCTTGGACAACTCGCCTGCGGGAACTCTACTCGCAAGAAAGCATTGCGGAAATTGGCAAATATCCCAAGGTAAAACTAGGTTTTCTTTTGCCTTGTTTTTCTCCTAGTGTCGATTTTAGTAGAGGATACACAGCCAACAAATATGGCTGATCAACATGAACCAAAACTTTTCTGGTTCCAACACAACTAACATTACTCTTCTTCCAACCTCCCACTCCTGTAAATAGTTTGTAAAAAATATAGAATCCAATCCTTGCTGTACTCAACCATCTGAACTCCATTGTCCAAGCCAACAAGCTTCATTCTTTACCCCCATTTCTTTGTAGCTCTATCTTGATGGCCCATTTGGAGAGGGACACCAGGAATGGAACAAATTTGAAGTGTCAGTCCTAGTGGGCGGTGGTATTGGAGTGACCCCCTTTGCCTCCATCCTTAAAGACCTTGTCTTCAAGTCTTCTGCTGGCTCCAGGATCCTATGTAAGAAGGTGAGACTGAACAAACAGAGGTGTGGTTGGCCTGCTGTACACCACTCACCTGCGATGGTGTCAGTGTCAATGTTTTTAAGTTGCATTAACAGAGGGATACAATCAAGATCAAGGGAGATACTAATACCACTCTATAAAGCCTTAGTAAGACCACACCTAGAGTACTGCTCCCAGTTTTGGTCACCACACTATAAAAAAGATGTTGAGACTCTAGAAAGAGTACAGAGAAGAGCAACCAGGATGATTAGGGGACTGGAGACTAAAACATATGAAGAATGGTTGCAGGAACTGGGCTTGGCTAGTCTAGTAAAGAGAAAGACCAGGGGAGACATGAGAACAGTCTTCCAATATTTGAGGGGCTGCTGCAGAGAGGAAGGGGTCAAGCTATTTTCTAAAGTGCCTGTAGGCCAGACAAGGAATAATGGATGGAAACTGAACAAGGAGAGATTCAACCTAGAAATAAGGAGAAACTTTCTGACAGTGAGAACAATCAACCAATGGAACAGAAGTTGCCTTCTGTGGGAGCTTCATCACTTGAGACTTTCAAGAAGAGATTGGACTGCCATTTGTCAGAAATGGTGTAAGGTTCACCGCTTGGGTGGAGCGTTGGACTAGATGACCTACAAAGTCCCTTCCAACTCTGATTATCTGTTATCAGTTTGTGTCAACATTGGGTGGTAGGACTTTTTAAATGAGGAATTGCATTACTTAAAGCAAATAGTGGAGTTGTAGACTTTGCTATATGTGCTTCATTTCACATTTCCTGACACTTACAGTTGGCTCATACAGCTGAATTAAAATTTACTTATGTTGTATTTCCACTTTTTGACAATTCTTCAATTTTGGGGGGCGGGGGAATACAAAAGAGCAAACCCTAGAATGGTGTCTCTCAAATCTTAGCAACTTTAAGAAGGGTGGACTTCAACTCCTAGAATTCCCCAATCAGCATGGTTGGCTTGGGAATTCTGGGAGTTGAAGTACACCCATCTAAAAGCTGCCAAACACCTGCATTAGAGGAAAGAGCACAACCTAAAATAAGGTTTAATCATGTTAAAATAACCTGCAGAACTTATATTGGAGACAATTGTTTACAAACATAGACAATTTGGGCAAAAGGATATACACTGAGGCATGTTGTACATGGAAATGAGTATACATTTTCATGGAATATATTTTTTTGAAAATAGAATTCACATTTTGATACAAAACATGGGCAGAACAATTCCACTATTGATAAATTATGGGCATTATAAGCATCTTTCGGCCTTTTTCTTGTTCTTCCCAGATCTACTTCATTTGGGTCACCCGGACACAGCGGCAGTTTGAGTGGGTGGCCGACATTATCCGGGAAGTGGAGGAGAATGATAAACGTGACCTGGTCTCCGTCCACATCTACATCACCCAGCTGGCTGAGAAGTTCGATCTGCGCACCACCATGCTAGTAAGTCCCTCCCCTCCACCATGCAATTTACTTGGGGTTCTATATCTAGGCGCCTTCAAGAAATAAAAAGTCAAAAGGTCAAGTTCTCATCTATTAACCTGAAGTGCTAGTAGCAAAAAGTACAGCGATTGAGTTTTGTCCAAGTAGACCATCTGCCAGTTCTTTTTTTTTTTAATAAGGAGATGCGTGCCTCGATGTGAGTGATATTGAGTTGGCCACGCCCAGCCAATAACATGACCACCAAGCCATGTCCACCTGGTCACATGACCACCAAGCCACACCCACCACCTAAGCCACACCCACAGAACCGGATGTTAAAAATTTGAATCCCACCCCTGGATAGTACCCATGAGTCTAGTTCCGTGATGGCGAAGCTATGGCATGCATGCCACAGGTGGCACGCAGAGCCATTTGTGCGGGCACGCGAGCCCCAGGCAAACTTACCTGAACTGTGCATGCACACGCCTCCCAGCTTTTGGGGGGCTCCTGTGCCGAAAATTGTGCTCTTGCTCGCACTCGCTCGTGTGCCAGCACTCAGAAGGCAATGTGTGCAGGGGGCCCCCACGCCCCTTGTGCATGCGTGCATGATTCCCCCTCTGCTGCCCCTTTACCTGCACTGATTTTTGGACCTTTTTCAGCCTCCCAGAAGCTCGAGGGAAGCCTCTGCAGCCTTTGGAGGCCAGAAAAACAGGCCCGTTTCATCAGTTCCTGTATTTCCTGAACTACCAGAAGTGATGAAACGGCTGAAAAAGGCCCGAAAATCAGATGAGAGTATGCGCGATGCGTATGCGCAATGCAGGTAAGGGGGGGATCATGCACCCATGCGCAGGAGGCATGGGGCCCCCGCACACATTGCCTTCTGGGTGCTGGCACATGAGTGAGCATGAGCAAGCACACAATTTTCAGCACAGGAGACCAAAAAGGCATTAAGAGTTGTTAACCTAATCCTACGTAGCTTCTTCTCTGGTAATATCACACTACTAACTAGAACATACAAAACATTTGCTAGACCTATACTTGAATACAGCTCATCAGTCGGAACCCATATCATGTATCTGATATTAACACAATTGAGAAAGTCCAGAAATATTTCACAAGAGTTCTCTACTCATTGCAGAATACCTTATGCCACCAGACTTGAAACTCTAGACCTAGAAAACCTACAATTACGCCGCCTTCCGTCCGATCTAAGTATAGTATATAAAATCATACATTGCAATGTCCTACCTGTCAATGAATACTTCAGCTTCAACCATAACAACACAAGAGCACACAATAGATACAAACTCAAGGTAAACCGCACCAAATTCAATTGCAGGAAATACGACTTCAGCAACAGAGAGGTCAATGTCTGGAATACTCTACCTGACTCTGCGGTTTCTTCCCCAACCCCCAAAAACTTTAACTTTAGACTGTCTACTATTGACCTCACCCCTTTCCTAAGAGGTCTGCAGGGGGCGTGCATAAGCGCACCAACGTGCCTACCGTCCCTGTCCTATTGTTTATTTTTATTTTTCTTATATGTATCCATCTCATGTATTCAAAACTATGTTTATACTTATACCTGTTATCTGGTAAGCAATTGACAAATGAAATAAATAAATACATAAAAATAAAATAAATAAATAAATAAATAAGGTTAGCCACCACTGGCCTAGTTCCACATTGAGAATCGATAACTTCATGGTGACCGGATTAGGCCCGACTGCTCTGTTCTAATGATCGGTTGATCTCTTTCCAGTACATCTGTGAACGTCACTTCCAGAAGGTTCTCAATCGAAGCTTGTTCACCGGCCTGCGTTCCATCACCCACTTTGGACGGCCACCATTTGTGCCCTTTTTCTGCTCCTTGCAAGAGGTCCATCCAGAGGTCAGTAAATATTTAATTTTTTATTTAAAAAAGAGCAACTTTTACCCAAAAACAGCCAAGGCAGGCAGGCAGATTGAGTTGCTCACAGAATCACAGATTCACTTAGAGATCTATCTATCTGCAATCTGCTACCTGAGTCTCCACTGAAAAATAGAAGCTTCAGTCCTAAGGAAGGTTCAGTTCTGCTTTTAGATTAGTTAAAAATCAAGAAATCCTAAGATTTCCTGCTTTCTAGCTAATCTAAATCTCCCGGCACAGCAGAACAGCTGATGGTCAGGGGAACAAAAAAGGAAAAATAGCAACTTAGCTGGCAAGTTTGATGGCGCACATACCAAGTAAAGGGTGAGTGGGTTGGGAGGGGCAGGGCCAGCCAGTGGTACAATTTGCCAGTTCTCCAAACTGGGTAGAATCATAACAACTGGTTCTATAGAACTGGTCCGACCAGGTAGAATCCCACCCCTGGATCTCGTCCATGGGGCCACCCTGGGAACAGCAAGGGACTGGCTCACAGTGCCTCTGCCAGAGAAAAGGGAGTTTAGGAGGGCCGCCCGTGGCCCTCCAAAACTCTGTTTTCTCTGGCAGATGGTTGCAGGAGGCCGTTGCAGCTAAAAACAGAGCTTGGGAGCCCGCTTTCACTGGTAAAGCACTCGGGCCACCACAGGTGCCCCCCCGACAAAAGTGATGTCGAGCTGGCCACACCTACCCCCAGTCCCCTCCCTCAGGTCAAACACAACCCTGATGTGTCCCTCAATGAAATCAAGTTTGACACCCCCTGCTCTACTCGATCACTGTTTTTCAAACTTAGCAACTTTAATATAAGTGGACTTCATCTCCCAGAATTCCCCGGCCATCACGTTGGCCGAGGGATTCTGGGGCTTCAACATGATGGCTGAGGAATTCTGGGAGATGAAGTCCACTTATATTAAAGTTGTGCCAAGTTCGAAAAACACTGGTCTGGATGTCAACGCAGGGGGAAAATTTTTAATTATTTCCCTCACTTATTTTATTTTGCATCTCTGTGGTTCTGAGCCCCCCCGCCTTTTTTTTTTTTTTTGCTTTTTGTTTTCAGGTACGGAAAATTGGTGTTTTCAGCTGTGGCCCACCTGGCATGACCAAGAACGTGGAGAAGGCATGTCAGAAAATCAACAAGCGGGACCAAGCTCACTTTATACATCACTATGAGAATTTTTAGTTATTCACTTTCGAAGACTCGGTTGCGCTTTGCAAGTGTGTAGTTAGAGGTCACTGCTGGCTATGTTCCTTCCTTTCTCTCAATGGGGAAAGGAGGGGAAAACTGCCTCATTTTCAACAAGGTCTTGGACGATATCTTTTAGATGTTCAGAAAGCCATACTTTTTGTCTTGTCCAGAACTTTACTTGAGGTCTCACAGTTGACAATTATAATCAAGAGCCCATGCTTGGATTATTCTCCTGGAAGAATAATCTGAACCACTACAAAACAGAGTGATATGATATTATTAACACTAAGGCAGCCCTTTTGTTACAAGTGCAGACTGGTTCAGAATTAACAGGTGACTAAACAGCCTAGATTACAGCTTTGTAACACTCCTTGTCAATTATTTATTCAACAATCCTTAATTCACTCCGACAATTATAGTCCCTAAATTGGACAGAGATGAGTTATTCTTCCCTTAACCCAATTTAACCTCGCTGTTTATCATGTTAAGCTTCAACAGTGTCTTGTACCTTGAGTTCAAGTAACATGTGTGGACCTGTTGGATTTACCTCTGATTTTACAGGTGACATTGGCCACAGAGAAGTAGCCATGATAGATAGATAATTATAAACATAGAGTGGAAAATCTTATATAGAAGCTAGATCAAATAAACGATACCCAGCATGCTGGCTGGGGAATTCTAGGAGTTGCGATCCACATATCTTAAAAGTCTATGGAGATTCTCAGTCATCCAGGTGTCACAATTGTCCCAAGAGGCAAATGGACTTTCTTTGTTTTTCTTTGAAGACAATTCGCTTCTTATCCAAGAAGCTTCTTCAGTTCTTCCGAAGAAGAGACTTCTTAGATGAGAAGTGGAACATCTTCAAGTAAAAACAAAGAAAGTCCAGTTGCTTCTTGAAAAAAACACCTTTGGCACATCTTAAAGTGTTTGAGGTTGAAAAACATGACTCCAGATGATTGTTTCTTCAAGTCTACAGATTCCCACTCACATACCAACCAAGTTTAACCCTGCTTAGATCAAACGATACAGTAGATCTAATTTTTCTCTCTCTCTCTTCTACCTTTCCGAAAGGTTCTTTTTGTGAAAGGAGGGGGGGGGAAATGGGGAGGTTGCATGTGTTGTATCGCCACACTATAAAACGCTGAGGATGCAGTAGGGGTTTATATACACTGAAGTTTAATGCAGACACCCACTCAGAAAATATAGCTACTAATGTAGATTAGAACTTGACCGCTGTCATGCTATAGATCGCTGAAGGTGGTAGAAATTAAAACATCAGAGAATTCTTTATGGAGCAAACTCTTCATGGAGCAAGTTCTTGATGGATTTTTCTAAAGCTTGGTTGATTCCCTTAAGATTTGTTTCGCTCACTTTGGTTTAGCTGACGGAGCGCATTAATTGTATGTATGTTTGTATGCAGGGCTTATATTAAAGATTTGTTTCAACTGAAGCGTCTCTTCTCTTGAATCCATTTTTGTTAGGAGTCTCCATTTATTCTGTAAAATCTACTAGCCATTTTGGTTGGTTTTTTTTCAACTGTTGGGAATGAATGAGATTCTCCCCAATGTTTGAATGTCACCCACTCTACTGGTGTTCCAAAGAATCATGAAGATCTGGTTCTTTGTCCAGCCCTTGGCAAGTATGCTGGTCAAGGAACTCTGGAAAATCCTGCCAAGATTGAGAAGTACTGGACTACACTGAAGATTAAAAGCTTCCAGGGGGATAATGATATATCTATATACTGTATATAAAAGTGAAATGCCACTCACGCATCATCACAAAATCTTCAGAACTGTAAAGCCTACAGACTTGAAATTTGGCACGTATGTTCCTCTTGGCTTCTAGGTGCTCACTAAGAAAGGATTTTTCAAAATGACCATCAGAACATTAGTATTTCCTGTATTATTATTATTAACATGCTCTGATGCTAAGGAGTTCTACTCCCCCTCCCCACCTGAAAAGAAATCTGTGCTAAATGCAAAACACAACCAGAGGAGAGGAGTTTCGGTTTTAGTTTCACAGCACCAAGCAGCTTTAGTACAGAACAGTTGAGCTAAGCCACGCCAAGGCTCCTTGCTGTCTCCTTCTTGCTCACACAGCAAATACTGTTTCAGTTTCCAAACAGCCCTCAATTACTGAACTCCTCAACTCTCTCCTCAAATGTCATGCAAAGATACACATGTTTAAATTGGTTATGAGAACCTGTCTGCTGTAGTGGTTAAAGGCCTGGGCTAGAAATATTCTTCTCCTGGTTCCATGCATCTGGGCTGGAAAAAACCAGGCCATCTTACCACTCATCTATTCTACCCAAGAGCAAGGAAATAGTAAACATTCTCCAACGTTCTTCCTTTGAAACCTCTTGCAAGACCTGCCTCAGCGTGAGCCTCTAAGAAAGAAGATCCTTAACTGTGTTTGTTGAGAAAGGTATAATTTACTAGAGGTGAAATATAGTGGTGCAAAGCCAGAACTGAAATCCGCTGGCCAAAATCCCCAGGTCTAACTTCCCTTTCCTTGGGTACCTCCTTATTCTGTCCCCCTCGAACCCAATGTCCAATCAAGTTCAAAGAAGATGTTTTAGGAACAGTGGCTTCAACTGTAGGTTGGTATGCAGCTGTATTCCCTTCCCAGGTGGTCAACTTTGAACCCACATCTCAGGGAGATGCAAAGAAAACATTTTTTGTTTTCCCTGAATCCTCTCCTCTCCCATCTAGTCTGCCTAGAGTTCATGGCAGTCCGGCACTGGGCCATAGCAAAAGACAAGTGTGAAGTGGCAGCTGACACTTCTGGAGCTTTGGTCAATCCACCGCCCCTGAAACGGGTCCCCTCCCTGGCCAGGACATCTGCCCAATCACTCCTGTGGGCTCTTTGCTGAAGTCAGCTGCTCCCTCTTTCAGCTGATGCCCACTTAGATGACTCTGAACAAAGTCACTTCATAAGCCTGGAGGCTTTTTGCAAGGAGGCAAAGCTATCATTATGGTCTAGTCTGGACAAATACGGGCTCTTGGTGCAGAGCAACTCACAGTTGAGCTGTTCCTACTGGGCTCTGCAGAAAGACACCAAATCAGCTCCCAGTAATCCTTTCAAATCTACAAGGTTAGACTAAGGACTGAGAAGGGGCGGTTGGGTGGTTTCACACACAAGATTTGCGACTTGACTTGTCATCCAAAGATGGGACAGGAAGATCCCTTCCACTGTGATTTATAGCCCCCAAAAAAGGAAGCCCCATAAGCATAGCGCCACATTGGAAAGCGAAGCGTGGAGTCACAACTGAAAGAAATGCAGCAATCCTGCTTTTCACTTTGGAAAATGGAGCAGTTCTTACAAGCTGGTGGCATAGGACTAGATCTGGATTCATACTCAGTTGTCTGGGTCTCTTGTAAAGAGGCCTGGTCTGGGGTGAAGATGAGACGTGGAAAATTTGGGAGAATTTGGGGAAGTATCTTTCAACAATATCCAGAAAGCAGATTGAAACTTTTTAAAGTTCCTCCTCTGGTCACAGTTTCTTCATAAAGCCAAATATGTCCTTCCTGTATTTAAGTTCAATGTAGGTCTATATTTGCATTGTGGCCATATGAATGAACTCTTACCAATGTCATGCAAATCCTTTTTAGCCTGTGACGTTTTCCTACAACCCAACGTAAGTCAACTAGAGTCATAGATAAGAGGTTTGTAATGGTAGGTGGGAAAGATATTGCTCCCAAACCAGAAAGAAATCTTAATGTTTGGGTGAAATATCTGATGCCAGGAGGATGGATAGGATGGGTGGGTGGGTGGATGATTGGATGGATGGATGATAGATGGATGCATGGATATGATGGTTGGATGGATGGATGGGTGGGTGAGTGGGTGGGTGGGTGAATATGATGATTGGATGGATGGATATGATGGATGGATGGATGGATATGATGATTGGATGGATGGATATGAT